GGGCTCTTATATGTTTCATCATCAGACTAATAAATTTTTATTGGGTATGAACATTGCCTTCTCACATGATTTATTTTGAAAAGGATAAAATTGGTCAATATATATATGAATAAGATTATTAAGATATATGTAAACAAGAACATTACTACCACCTGAACAACATTCCACAAAATTTTCTATTTTCACCGAGACATCAAGAATTGCACATAAAACATTGTAAGTAACCTTTTTCTTCTTACAGTTACAAAAATGTGTATATCCATCCAGGATTTGGAAAAGTTCAAGTAGATTTTTTAATTTAAAATTTTATTTTTCTATACAATGCAATTTTGTTTTCTTTAGAAAAATATACAATATAACAAATCACCTAATTTTTGGAAGCATTTTGATGTACTTTATAAAATATTCTTTGCAGAAAATTATTTAATCAACTTTAATTAAAACTACCCCAATTGAAATCTAAAGATGTTCATGAAATATATATATATATACTACATGCAAATAAATGATATCACATGTGAATGTCAAGTTACAAGTACCAACACATACTCGACTAAACCCTAACCTAGAAGAACGAATCCATAATGTATTTAGTAAATAAACCAAACAAACAAGTAACAATAGTTTTAGAGTTTTTTATAAAGCAGTATTTTCTGTAAGTACTGCCTGCAAGTCTTGCAGGTCACGAAGAAGTTGTCTCCTTTGTTGTACTGTGCTGGATGGTTGTTGATCAAGACTAGGACTAGTGGTAGTTGTACAGACTTCTACCGATCCTCCTGCAGCTGGTGGCATGGTGGTTATTTCTGTTGTTACCTGAACCTTTCCCTTGGTATTAGGGTTTAAGATAGTCCTGTGTTTTCTATAATCTTGTTGAATCTGAAATATCACAAAGAATTGTAAAATGAATTAATTTACACGCATGCATACAGAGGAAAAAAGGTATTAACAAAGATGTTTTCAATAATAAAAAAAACAAATTATTACCAGAGCTTGCAATTTTCGAAGATGTTCAATTTGTTCTCTCTTTACGTCCAACCGCTGGTGGATTTTACCCTGTTCTTTTTCCAGCTGGTTTAGGATGATTGGATCAATTGCTCTTGTAAAATGTTTGCTAATTTTAGCATGTTCTCTATTCGGCAATAAAAGATTACCAATTATTTTTCACATGTGGTTAAATGACCTATTGGCTTGACAACATAAAACACATTTTGTTTTATCTCTAATAGTTTTAAAAATAATTCAATATCTTTGAGAATTTCTTACACAACTAAGTTACATCAGCTCTAATACTATTTGAATCTTGTTTGTTTTAAAGTTAAAATGTGAATGTCCTGGAAGACAAGTTGAAAGTATTATGGTAATTACTTACTTACCAAATTTTGTTTGAGAACAAACATATATAAAAATATAGCCAATCTGATTCACTTTCATGACTTACTTAATACAAGAATTTAAAAACTTGTCTTTTATTACAGAAACTTTCTAAAGCATTTTCAGCCAATTTAATATTGTAGTTTTATGTGTAAGTGATGTAATGCATGTGTTTCCACTTAAAGTATCACAAACAAAATTCTAATCTTACCATCACAGGGTAAGCACTATCTAGTGAGACTGAAAAGTTCCTGCTGTTTTCTAAGTAATGACAAACACATTTATTCTAATTAACTATATTCTATCGTGTGGAATTTCAAAATGTCATAGCATTTTCTGCCAATAGTCATTTACATTATTAAATATTCCTTCAAATGTCACATTCAGATCCAGTTAAAATTGCAAAAACACTACGAATAATACGCGAAAAAGAAAACATATGAACATTAAGAATGAAAATTAAGTAAAAATTTTACACTCTAGATATGGATAGGTCAAACTGCATGTCATGACCTTTTACAGAGCTACACTTAAATTATCAGTATATGTGAATAAACTTGGCATCAAAATATAATTAATTCAAATTTTAATATAATATTACACAATTTTCAATTTCAAAATATATTTAAATAAATTCTCAATCTTTACTTTTACATGACACCTCTTTACTCCAAATTGTCCATTGTGAAAATATATTCAAAGTAATCTCCAAGTTAAAATTACAACTTATAGCCTCTGTTTTTCATGCTTTAACAAGTTACATGCCACGCTCCTCTTAGCACGTGCTGTGTATAATTTTCCGACACTTGCTATTGGATTATTTATAAGCAACAGAATGAGAAGATTTTAATTTACTGCTTCCTTCATGAGGTTAGCTCGTTCTCATTATCAGTTTGGAGTTATTTAGCTTCACATTCATAGTTTGCTTTCTTCAAGATTGCCTTGAAAAAAGTAAGGAAATTATTTTAGCACAAACATAGTTTAGTTAAAAGTCAGATAAATTATAATAGGACATTATTTTTTGTTGTTGTTGTTGCTGCATGTTTTATATTTGGTACTTAACTCTTTCAACATGAGCTCAGTCCCTGGGATTGACCTCATAACCATTTTGTGTTTGTTATAGTTTTCATACTATAACTTTTAAATTAATAATTGAATGTTAACAAAATTTGGCAGATTATTAGTAAACATTACAATGCTTTCATATGC